TGTAACTGTAAATGAGGCATTGTCACTGAGTAGGTTTATTTGCAGTGGGGTCCTCAAGAATTAATTCTTGGCCCCATCTTATTTAACATATTTATTAATGATACAGAAGAAAATATAAAATAATCACTCACAAAGTTTCCAGAAAAATTGGGGGAAGAGGTAAACAATGAGAAGGTCAGTAAACTGCATGTAAACAATCTACTTTTAATTACAGCTAAAAGTAAATATATACAGCCAGAAATAAAGAATGTGGGGCCATGCTTAGAGGATAGGAGACTACTCAAAGAAGCAGTGACTCTGCAAAGGATTTTGGAGTTGTGGCCAGCATCTGCTGAACATGAGTGCCCACTGCGATGTGCCAAAAGCGTGAATGCATAATCAAGAGAAACTCAAGTAGAAGTTGAAAGATTAAGGGGTGACTGATTATGCTTTATCGAGAGCTATGTGGAACAAATACTTAATAATTGGCTCTTCATTACCGAATAACCTGATTCAGTGGCTGGAAGCTGGAAGCTGATTCAATGGCTGGACGCTGAAGTTAGACATGCTGTATAGAAGACTGGAAATGAGAAGTGAAAATTTACCAGTGAGAGTTATCAATCACTGGAATAATTTACCAAGAGGCACGGTAGATTCTCCATCTTCAATTAAGACTGGAGGTTTTTCTAAAAGATGTGCTTTAGGAAATATTGCTGGGAAGTTTTATAGGCCCATGTTAGGCAGGAGGATAGATTAGATAATCGCAGTGGTCCCTTACACCATAGAATTTATGTATCTATGCAAAGGACTGCTTTCCTTATTTGATTGAGATTGAACTGCTAGCCCAGCACTGGAATTAGGTGATCTTGTACACCAAGTCTTATTTCTCTTCTTTGACAACTGTCTGTCTTGAAGGGTAACAAAACTGCTTATAATATTACCATTGCTACTGTACAAGTGTAGATTAATGTCTCCAGGATCTGCGGTATACACTTGTGAGGAGTCAAGATTAGCTTGAGAGTACTTACATGAACATAAGGTTTTATCCATTTTATCAGAAAACAGGGATCAGCTGTCAAAAGGAAAGGCTTCAATCATCTGAAAAGTGTCTGTAGCTTTGCCTGAGGTTTGCAAGCAGGATGCTCTCCTCATTGTTACTGCAGATGCCCTCATCAGCAGACCTCTCTAGTGATCCCTGAAGACGTATCCTCGGAGGACAGTGTGCACTGGGGAGGAGAGCGTGGTGCAGTGGCAGGATTTGGGAAATGCTAACAGACAGCCCAACACCCCAGCCCAGCAGGACTCTCGAACTGGTTTGTGCAACTACTTAGGCCAAGGATGGCCTGCGGACTGGGAATTTGAGACCATTTTTGGGGGGGGGGGGAGAGGAAATAAAGGAAAATAAACAATACCTCAGCCCTCTTGATGTCAAATGTTATTAGCTCTTTGTCCCTGCTAAAAGGGGACCTACACTTTTCTTCATCTTTCTTGATGCATCTTGATAAATTATGGGTATTATGCATCTTGATAAATTAGGATTATGTGACAAAACTGCCCTCAAGAGTAGGGGACTGGATGTGATGACCCAGGAGATCATTTCCAGTCAAATGTCCTATGTTCTTCTTCTTCTTATTGCAATAACTCTGAAGATTCCCAGTCCTAGCCAGAATCTGCTTGTGATAGGCACTATTGAAACACAATGAAAATATGGTCCGTGCCCTAATGAGCTTACAATCTACCTAAGGAATATAAATTACTTTCCTAAGATTACAAAGGAAATCTGTGGCTGCACCAGAAATTTAATCAAATTATCTTACTTGATGGGTAACATTTAATTTATTTAGGCGCCATCATTTTGTATGTATCACTGGGATAATATTCCTCGCCTCCCCTCGTCCCCTCACTGTGGGTGCTTAAGCTCTGGAACATCCAGTGCTTTTTTTGTGACAGTACTGCCTGGTACTCAGTACCGGCACCTCCAGATGCAGTACCAGCATCTCCAGTCAACAAATTTTCCCCTGTAGTACCGGCACCTTTTTAAAAAACAAAACAAAAAAAGCACTGGGAACACCTATGGAGTTAACACTAATTCTATCCACAGCTTTTCTTCCAGGGAGAGAAGCTATCCTATCCTATCACCCAAGACCTTTCTTCTTCCAGTCTCTGCTAGCCTTTCTGTTCTGCAATACCCTCCTGTATCTTTTATCAGTCCTCGGATGAGGACTCACCTTTAGCTTACCCAAGATGTTAGCCTGGTTAGCTAATTCCATATTGATCCCCAGTTAGCTATTCCTGGGAAAACTAATCAGTGCCAGAGTGATCAGAGTGCTGACTCACCTGTTGACTCCCAGCACTCTGTCAGAGGCAGTTAGAATTTTCACCTGTAATTTTTAATTCTCCTAACCTTAACTCTAAAGGACAGAAGTTTTTCAGTATCATTCAATTTAAACATATTTGCAGCTTCAAATTTTTGTCTGTTTCCCTCAGATATGCTGCTGATTTAAACTCAATCTGGTTGTGTAGACAAGACAGTCCTTCTAAAGATGGTATTGTTCTACTCTTAAGTGCTAAAACATGACAGGCAGTGACTTACTGCAAGATTGCTGAACACTGCAGGTGAGGCAGCATGGTAGGAAGCCAAAAATGACAGAACTAAATGAAAAGTAATCTGCCCAATGAAAAATAATCTGCCTATGCTCTGCCAGAAGCGACTTGCTGCTATGAAATGGAAATAATTTTAAAATAACATTTTTTGCAGCTACTGTCCATTTCTTATTTTGTTTTGTTATTGACCTTCTAATTTAACCATGTTTAGTAAAAGTTTAATAAAGGGGACAAAATCCTGCCATTGGCAGAAGACAGCTTTAGGTCTACTATCTTTAACTACTATAAACCCAAGAATGCTGTGTTCCAGAGTTCTGGAGTTGGCCCTAAGAGATATGGCATTTGCTGGGGAGCACAGGGTGGTGGATTCAAGTACACACTGGCCCCCACCCAAAGAGTGGCTGCCATGGCTCCGGTACAAAATGACTGACTGACTACATAAAAATCCTTATAATGAGTAGCAAAAGAATGTGAATGACAAAGGAAGCATCACATGCCTTTTGTGATCACTGTATTTTTGAATCGTAAAGGAAAGGAAACTGTAAAGGAAAGGAAATCGTAAAGGAAACTGCCCCCTTTTTTTTTCTTACTGTTGGAACTGTGTGTGACTGGAGAGGGGTGAGTGGTCCCAATAGGTACACTTCTCCCAAGAGGGGAGAATTCTTGAAGTAGAATATACATAGACTTATTTTAAATACTCTTTATATCTTTGACACAAGATCTTCCTCATCTTCATTATTAGAGGATGTGCTCTACAGCAACCTAACCTATTGACTAGATGGCCTAAGACCCCCTCTTATTTGGGCTGCCGGTGGGACCAGTCGCCTTTTTCTCATCAAGCACCAGGGGTCGAAGCTAATGTCTCAGATATATGATGGCAGTGATGCACAGATTTGGTTATTATGGGATATTAGGTTACTGTTCTGATAGTACTCTGCATTCCTGGTCTGCCATGGGGTTATAACGTACCATCTTGTCCAGCAACACAGATAGTCTACTCCTGAATTTCAAACATCTACTTATAAATTAGTTGTTTTTAGAAAAACAAAGTTGCTTCACTATAATTGGGTGCAATCAGCCTTTTCTTTTTTTTACAATGTATTTCATTTCACATTATCTGCTTTTAGAGACTTCCTGCAAGGTTTTAGCGGAATATCACTAAATCTATTATTAAAGACTGTACACCACTCTGGAATATAAATTCTGTGCTAAATTGTTACATAATGTTACTCTAATAGTTGTGGGTGGCAAATGATACAGAGATTCATTAAAAACATGTATCTACAACTATCATGAATAAAATGTATATGTAATACCATATAGGCACACACAAAAAAGTACCAGACTCACCTATGACATTATGAAAATAATAATTTAGATTTACTTTTCTTAAATTTTTAAATCCTAGTTTTAAGTAGGAGATTTTTAATCCTGGGTATAATCTCTTGGGACCATCTAAACAAACCTTCTTCCTGCCAACCATTTTCAGATACTTATAGAGCGTTATCTTACATAGAAGCATATTGCATATCTTTTTATTTCTTTTAATTTTCCTTTTAAGCTATTTCCTTCAACCACTTTGTCATTTTGGAAGTTCTTTTCGCAAATCCCTCGAAGTCATCAACTTCCTTGGGGCTGTCAGATATTCAGATATGAACGTAGCATTATGTCTGAGTTTTACTGATTTAGAAGTTTATGTGAGTTGCACTCTCTTCTAAACTGTGAGACATTATGAAATAGAAAGGGCCATGGGCCACGCACAGTAAACAAGTGATAAGGAGATGCTCCTAATTTATGACATCTGATACACACCCGGCATCTTTAAAGATTACATCACCTGAAAATTTAAATAAAGAATTTGTTTGGGCTGCTTTGAACAATGGATTTTCAATTTGTGTAGAAAATCTGATGGGAGAAACCTCACAATCTAGCAACATTTCACAGCAAGATCCATTCTATTAAGTTTCAGTGGAGGCACAAAATTGCTTAAAGAAACCAATCTACTAGTCTCCAATCCTAAATGTATCACTTGAGATTTGAACATCCAATAGGAGCAGTAGCTGACATGTAACTAATTTTAGAATGCAAAATGCCCCTCAACATACTGCAATACCTATAATTTAAACAAACAGTAAACCTAAATTTTGCAAAAACAGAAAATTTGAGCGCTAACAAAAAAAGCATAATTTGTAATTGAAAGAAAATAATATTTAAAAGAGAAAACTTTTTTGTCCTTCCAAAAAGAGACAGAAATGGCTAAGTTTTATTTCCCAAGAGAATTATGCCACTTTTGTAAAGAAAATTACTCTTGCCACAAATTGCTCTCAACAATTCTAAGGCTTCTTCATTTGACCACTTGAAAATCAAAGTTCTTTAAGATTATAAATATAACTTTTTATAACTCTGTTATTACGTACTGTGAATGGGGAAAGGGGGCCAATCTTGTGGCCGTAGCGCCGAATGGCCTCTCTGATGTGGCAGGTCTGGATGGCATCGCTTTGAGCCTCTATACCACAGGCTGCAGCGCTCTGCAACAGAAAAACACATAAATTGTTACTAAATCAAAAACACACAATAGACCTGCAGTGCATAAAATATGAAAATAAACCTTTGTAAAGTGGATGGATTTTTTTTTCTTGCGGCTAAATATCATTGTTGCCACACACTACATCTTAAAAATCTATTAACAAACCAAAGAGGACTTTTACATGACCTCTGCTTAACAGACCCAAAGAACAATCTTAAATCTTTTACCCACGGCTGATGTATATAGGAATGGAAAAGAGCAGCAAATGCTCAAATTCAAATGTAAGTCATGCTGCAATAACCACAAAAAACTATTTCTGAAACATTTCAAGTTTTCATTATAATATAAGGGGCGGCAACTATTTCAAAGCAGACACCAAGATCAAAATTAAACCTGCAACATAATTATAAAGTCACAAAGGTAAAGAAATATTTTTAAAAGATTCACATTGGAAAATTTTCAGATTCTGAATAGATTTTTGAACTAAGGGGCTGGTGCAAGAAACAGCAAATTCTATGCATGCTGGTCCATAGATGCTACAAAGATCTTCCTGACTGTGCAGGAGTAGAAGCTGTATTGTATTTTTAGTAGGCAAACTGCAACGTTGGTGTACGTCTCAGCTGGCTACCCACAACAGCTGATTGCAAAAATTCATAGATTCCATACAGGGATTGTCATGTGATAAGACCAGGTGAATCCAGTAAGCATAACCAGTATACAACAGACACTGCATAAACACTCTGTACACAAATCCCATTTTCAGACTTGGATGCCTAAAATGAAGTGTCTGAATAAAGTGCCTGATTTTCAGAAATGTTGACCACCAGCTGGTATCAATGAATGTAAAGCAAATGTTACATAATGTGTTGGTATGTCCTTTCTAAATGACATTTGTAAAGGGAATGTGAAACCCAATGCTTTGTGTTGGTCTGAATGATGTATGAACAGCATGTAGTGTGAATAGCACTCTTTTCTAAACAGCTGGTCTATCTCAACACCTTTGCTATGCCTAGCAGACATCTGATAAAATTGCATGTGTAGTGAACCTACTGGAAACATTCCAGTAAAATGGTAAGAAAATTATAAATGTTACATTTTTAAAATGGCACCGAAGTAAGGTTATGAGTCTTTATTAAACAAATTTCAAAATGGTACCTAATGTTGTATCCTTCGCTACAATTGTATCCTTAGCTACTACTTTGGGCCTGTGAACTGCAGTGCAAATCATCCATATGAACACCAACAACCCAATGTAAAAAGGAAGGGGAAAAAGTAATATTCAGAACTCCTAAGGCAAATATTTTTACAGTTCACCAAAGAGTTCCTTACTGGTGTGTGATATGTAACAAAGTCAATGCTGACAGTTAATTTATTAGCGTGGGGAAGTTCAACTCTACGGGGGACATCTATGATTCTATGAGAAGCATCTATACACCTTGTTTACTGTTTGATAATATCAGTGTAACAATTGCTAGAGAAACGTGAGTGTTTGTTGCAAGAAAATAATGTACGTGAAAGAAACACTAATGATCCAGTTCATACATATTCACTTTGAGGAACAGTAACATATTCTCCCAAAATCTCCCAAAACATCTGAAGAGTACAGCAAAAAAACACATAACCTGTTCAATTGGAACACCTGGGATTACAGTGCAAACTAGGACTGGTAATACTGACATTAGGTATCTGGAATGTGAAGTAAAAGATACTAACATTTCATTAAAAAAAAAGTATTCAAATAACTCAGCTGAATTTACCAAAATAAAATAAGGATATCTTTAAACTACATGCATATTTTACTATTGACCTTTCAAATCCAATATTTCTAATGCAAGAAAAAGATCAAAATCTTCAGCAGATATTTTGAGTGCCTATCTGCTATTGCTCATCCACACCAACCTTTTTTCTTTTTCTTTGTTTGACTTTGGTGGAGTCTTGTCCAATGCCTCCATTCCCCAAGGCTCCTGTAAGAGACTTCCCAAGGTGCTGTGGCGCTGTTGAGGCTGGAGGAGTGGGTGTAGGGGGTGGTGTGTTTTCGGGAGAGTCAAGACTGCTCTTCATACCTGTGCTCTGACCTAAGAGATGAGGCTATCAAAACAAAAAGTCAAGCAGTCATTTTTAAATGAAGATTTTTTAAAAACTGTTTCATTGCTTTCCTGGATTTACTGTTACAGGAAGTATAATACATTCGAATTGCACATTCTGAAAACTACTGTGATTGTTGATTGAGGTAATTACAGCACCTATTTCATTTGTTATTGACCAAATGTGTGAATATTAATTTCCAGTAAAGGTCCACATACAAGTAGGTTCAGGACTGACAGTGTAATTTCTATACAAGCAGAAAGAATTTTCCATTTTTTTAAATGAAAAGCTGTATTTGACAGTTTTCAATACATTTGAACCTCTTTAATCTGGCAATTTTGGGAAACAGGCTTATGCCAGATTATGAAATTTTCCAGACCATGGATGTTCACCATAATGGAGGATGCTGGGATTGGAGGTACAGGGTCTGGAAGACAGGGAGGGTGCAGGATGGGGGTGCATGATCTGGGTGTGAGGGAGATGTCAGTAGGGCACTTACCTTACGCCCTGCTCCTGGGGGTACATGTGGCTCCGTGCCCCCCACCAGTCCCAGGCACTGCCTCCCACAACTATGGGAGCGGGAGGGGGAAAAGCCACCAAACCAGAGCTTCGCTGTGCTGCCATTCCCCCAGATCAGAGACGTCCAGATTACCAAGGTTCAAGTGTAGTCATCAATATGCACATTTTAAATTTTTTTTTAACATTCATAACATACAGTGATTTTTCCCATATTTGTCAGATGTGAATATGTATTCAACAAATCCAAAAAAATGTACGTACTACAGGTTGAACCTCTCTAGTCCAGCACCCTTGGGATCAGACCGGTGCTGAACCAGAGAATTTGCCAGCCCACGGGAAATCAACATTGTCTAGCAGCATTATTAACATTGCCACTGCTTACTGGGTTCTTAAAAGACATTTACGGGTAAATTAGAGCTAAATAACAGCACAGAACATTGAGAGCCAGGACTGGTGGCTGTAAACAAACTTTATGGGACCGTGGGAAACTTGGCTACACTCATGATAAGTGGACACCCAGGTAACTAAACTCATGTCGGAACACAGATGTTTCTGGATCAGAGAGTGCTGGACTAGAGAAATTTAAACTGTATTAGGTGAATTGAAAAATACTATATATTTTTGTTTTTTACAGTGCAAAATTAAATAAAAACAAGTATTTACCTCAGCAGGATTGTGATATTGTATAAAAGTAGCAGATATTGCATGACTGAATGGATCACCTGCCTTGGGAGCCATATCCTGTTTGACCAAAAGAGCCAAGTCCACCAACTAGAAGAGCAATAAAATGAACTATTAAAAATCAGGTTCACTGAGAAGGAATTAACTGGTTATGAATTAGCTCTCAAAAGTGAATCAAGGCACTGTGTGTTGACACAAATGATGCTAATTCTAATGTTAACTAGACAATTCAGCCTTGAAATAAGATGCAATTTTCCAAGCAGAAACAGTAATTAAATGCTGGAACAGTTTACCACAGAAGGAGGGATTCATCATTGCTTGAAGTCTTTAAGGCGAGATTAGATTATTATTCTTTTAAAGATAAGCTTTAATCAGCTTCCAGGAGAAATTCTGAAGTCGTTGTATGTAAGATGTCTATCCCTTTTGGCCTTGGAGTCTATGAATGTATGAATCCCCCTATTCATTTCCTTCCTTCATGGGCTATGGAAAGAACAGGAAATGTTCCATTTCTCTCTATATGATCACCAAAGTCTGTGTGCAACTCACTCTGCAGCAGTCTAGAAGGATCCTCCCCCCCTCCAAAGTACAAGCTGGCAGGTGTATTCTGTGTTTTTTTCCCCCCTCCATCTTCCTTTGAAGCATCAGGGAATGACCCCAGCTAGAGATGAGAGTACTTGGAGGTAGTGGAGAGAATCCTTTCTCTCAAATGCCTGGCTGGTGTGCCGGGCTTAAATGCTTAGGATCAACTGATCACCAGATCTGGAGTTGCGAAGGAATTTTACTTCAGGTCAGATTGATTGGAATTGTGAGCGGGTTTTCACCATCCCCTGCAGCATGAAGCATGGAACACCACTAGGATCATTAGACATATCGCTCCAAATCAGTTTCCTACCACTGAAGGGCAGCAACTCACCTGATTTATGCATGTGGCACACAGTTTAGACTTATGAAAAGTGAAACGCTTTGGTCTATCCCCGGTTATTGTGTAACTGGATGAAATTTAAAGGCTTGTTATACATGAGGCCAGACAAGATGATCTAATGGCCCTTTCTCACCTGAAAATCCAGGAAACTATAAATGCCTCCTTAGAAGAGACTAAACTGCAATGAGTTATTTTAACTTAAAGAACTGGACATTTCTCATCTCTAACAGGAAGTTCTTTGAGATGCGTGGTTCCTGTCTGTATTCCACACATGGTATGCATGTGCACCATGCATCTGAGTCCACAGATTCTTAACATGCAGTGTTCATTGGCATTCACACATGCAGTTGCTCTCCTTATGCTCCACACCAAAGGCATGAGAGATAGTGGTGGCTGATACTTCTCCCACCATGAATTCAACAGGATTTGAAGCAGAGGGGACAGAGGGCGGGTAGTGGAACACAGATTGGGTACATTCCAAAGAACTTAGTTACAAGTAAGTACACTCCATTTCTTCAAGTGTTGGTCCCTATGTGTATTCCCTATGTGTAATTCAGGTGGGTGAATGACAAGCAGTATTTAGACCAGCGTATGGTGCAACGGTGAAGAACTGCAGTCCCCATCACTAGATCTTGTAACAGAGGACTGAACTAATACTGTGCAATGTTTTTTGTGAACATGTGAGTGGAACTCCATATACTTCCCAGAGATTCTCCTTCTTCCATCAGGACGAGGGAAATGCACTAACTGGTGGTATGCAATGATGCAACCAAAAATCAATGTATTGATTCTCTGAGGGAATATTTTTTGTCCATATGACCTTTCTACTATAGTGAGCAATAGTCCTGGAGATTTTCTGATTGGTTTGGTCCTTGGCAGGTGGAACTCCCGGTCACACTTGACATCTGGGGAATGAAGTCTTTTCAATAGAAGCTTTGGGTTTGTGAAGGAAACAGAAATGCAGTGAGCAGTTTACGGTGAAGACCTTGTGAAAAAGGGCATATGGTGGATAAGCCATTAGTGCTTCCATCTTGTTCATCCTTCTGGACTAAAAATGTGACCTTCATGGAAGGTGAAAGATAAAGCCTGCAGCCAAAATTTCAAATGGTAATTTGGTGAGTATTAACAGGACTAGCCAATTAGCCCGTCATAAGATGGGATTTTCAGGTCTCTCCTCCACGTCGGTCTTCTCTCCTGAGCCTCCGGTCTCTCGTTCCGTATCTCTCTCTCTCCCCCC